ATTTTATAAATTCTCTAGAGGCTCCTCTTTTTCTTTTATCTGTTTATTGATTGATTTCTATCAGTGTTCTTCCAGTCACTACATTATATGTATAATATAATGTAATATAATAAGACAATGTAATAATATTGTATTGGCTTCCTGTTAAATCCAGAATTCAAAATCCTGCTCCTCACATACAAGGTCTTAAATAATCAGGCCCCATCTTATCTTAATGACCTTGTAGTACCATATCACCCTATTAGAGCACTTCGCTCTCGCTCTGCAGGCCTACTTGTTGTTCCTAGAGTATTTAAAAGTAGAATGGGAGGCAGAGCCTTCAGTTTTCAGGCCCCTCTTCTGTGGAACCAGCTTCCAGTTTGGATTCAGGAGACAGACACTATCTCTACTTTTCAAGATTAGGCTTCAAACTTTCCTTTTTGCTAAAGCATATAGTTAGGGCTGGACCAGGTGACCCTGAATCCTCCCTTAGTTATGCTGCAATAGACGTAGGCTGCCGGGGGATTCCCATGATGCATTGAGTTTTTCCTTTCCAGTCACCTTTCTCACTCACTATGTGTTAACAGACCTCTCTGCATTGAATCATATCTGTTATTAACCTCTGTCTCTCTTCCACAGCATGTCTTTATCCTGTCTTCCTTCTCTCACCCCAACCAATCACAGCAGATGGCCCCGCCCCTCCCTGAGCCTGGTTCTGCCGGAGGTTTCTTCCTGTTAAAAGGGAGTTTTTCCTTCCCACTGTTGCCAAAGGTCTTGCTCATAGGGGGTCATATGATCATTGGGTTTTCTTCTGCATGTGTTATTGTAGGGTCTACCTGACAATATAAAGCATCTTGAGGTGACTGTTGTTGTGATTTGGCGCTCTATGAATATAACTGAATTGAAAATTGACAATGGCTAAGCTGACAGGAAGAATAGAAAAAGGGAAGTTAGGAGAAAATATAATAAAAGGATAGCACACAAATAGAAATGCACAATGTAATGTACCAATGCTGCATCTCTAATAAAAACAAAACAAAAGGAAAAAGAACATATAGCACCTGGGACGCAGAAATATGAAAATGCACAGAAACATAAATCACCAATCTTCTTGTTGTGTGTGTGTGTGTGTGACTTCACTGTGAGGGCTAACTGTTTTTAAGCCAGAAGAAACCCACAGAGAAGTCTTATGGAGAGCTACAGGGTGAGCCCCTGCAGGCTGAGCTATAGAAGCCTGTTTTGCCCCTTGTACTACCTACAGATACTCACTCTGAAAATCAAGACGAAGAAATTATGCAACTTGGCAGCCGAAAACTTCACTGTAACACAAAATAGTACTCAGTGATTTGTGTGGCCCCCATGTGCAGCATAAGGGCTCCGAATGAGATGACAGATGACACCCTGGGTGTGGGGAGGGTTCTCCTCTCAGGGGATCTGGACCTGGGCATCAATGAGCTGCCTGCATGCTCTCGCCACATGAAATAGTCATTCACCAGGAAGAACCTAGGACCGACTCTACCAGCGTAGGGTCTGACAATGGATCCAAGGAGTACAGCCGGTACCTGATGGAAGTCAGGGTGCCATTAAGTAGCCTGCAGAGGTCTGTGCATCTGTGGCCCTTCATGGTTGTGCCTCCCCAGAACATTATGCTGAATGAAGTTACAGGCAGCAGAACGTTCTCCATACCATTGCACATTTGCAACATGTGCTCAGGGTGTACCTGCAAAAAGCACAGGGTGCCCATGGTGGGCCTGCCAATTCCTGTATTCTATGGCAAATGCCAGTAAGCCTCCATTGTGCCAGACAGTGTTCACAGAGCCCACTAGAGGATGCTGAACCCTCAGGCTTTCCTCAGGAACTTTGTTTTTGGTTGGAGACATTCACACCAGTTGGAGGTTATTTTGTAGGGCTCTGTTCCTCGTTGCACAAAGGAGCAGATACTTCTGCTACAGGACTGCACCTGTACAGTTACCTGTCCAGCTATCCTAGAGTTACTGCCTGTCTCCTGAAATCTCCTCCATGCCCTTGAGACTGTGCTGGTAGCAAAATGTCAATATTGATGTGCTTTCCTGGAGGTTTTGGACTACCTGCAAATCATTTCTAGAGTCCAGGTTTAGGAGGTGACTATAGCTGAAGAGGTAGGTCGTCTATTAATTGGAAGGTTGATGTTTTTATCTCTGAATGCTCCAGTCTGCATGCCAAATATCCTTGGGCAAGATACTAACTCCATGTTGCTCTCCATTGCATCCACTGCAGTGTGAATGCATGTGAATGTTAAATAGAAAGAAAGTGCTTGTATGAAAGGGCGAATGAGGCATGAAGCGCTTTAAGTGGTCAGGTAAAGTAGAAAAACACTATACAAGAATTAGTCCATCAGTCCAAGTATCGCCTTACGCTACCAAAGTGACTGTAGGCAAATGCAAAACTAGTAAAAAAAAAGAAGCAATCTCGAGGAGGCAAAAAGTGTCAGGACCACCTGTAAAACTTGTTTTGGGGGTTGGTCTCGTTGCAGTGACTGCTCCTGTAGTTATGTTTCAGGTTTTTCCTTTATAGTTTCTTCATAGTTGTGACTAATATATCTAATACTTGTATTGATAAACTATGTATTGATAGACTGTGTACCGGGCAGCATCAGTGCAGAGACGCCAGCAGGAACAACAAACTGATTCACAAAGTTGGAACCATCAGACTCAGTGAGTCCCAGGAGGTCACTGAACAAGCTCCAAACTGCTCTCCATCATGGACAGCTGATGAGACGCACCGCTCCACACTACCGAGGCTACAGAGCTCCTTCAGACCGGTTCAACCTGCTTCAGGTCCTGTCTCTATAAAACTGAATAATAACTTCACTCTGTGGCAGATAAAAGATGAATGTGACAAATATGATTCCACCCACCTGTTTTTTTTAATTTATAGTGCACGTGTTATTTATTAACACAAAGTCTAACACTCTTACACAATGTCAGTTTTACTTTGACAGTTTTTTAACTTAAAATTGACTTTGTTCTTTCACTGGTGTGTATGTTGTTTACTGTAGACTCCATCCATCCATGCGTTGTCTCATCTGTTTCGGAGTTTCTTCATGTTACAGGAGGATATGTTTGTATTTGAGATCTTTAAGCCTTCTTCACTTTGTCAGCAGCTCTGACAGTAATCAGACCAGGGTGAGTGAAGCTAAGCTTTCCCAGAAATGTGGCCAATCACAGTTAATTCATTATTAACAAGGAGGGTCGGGAGGGTCCCTTCAATTCAAATATTATAGGAAGATTACATCTTTTGTATGTACTTAGGTTATCTTTATATAATTTTAACATGTGTTTCGTGACTTGAAATATTTAAGTGTCATGAATATGCAAAGAATTCCAAAGTCAGGCCTCTGGGAAAATACTTTTTCACAGCACTGTCTTCCCTGGCTTCACACTCACTTTTTGTCGATTCCTTAGTTCAGACAGGAAGTTTATTTTCCCACCTTATGACATTTATTTCTTAAAAAATGTTCTTCTTTCCGCCTTGTATCTCAGATCACAGCGCGGTCCTGCCTACCACCCACTCCTGCTCAGCTATGCAGGACTGTGGTTACTGTTACTGCAACTTTTCTGAAATGGCTTTAACGTGGGCCTCGCCTAATGTGACTTGCATTTAGCAAATAAACTCAACGTAATCAAACTGTTACTCAGTATGACGTTAGCTTGTAAGCTATGTTGTTGTTTAGCCATCTCTTGTCAGCTCTGCAGAGACTGGAGGGTCGCATTTCTGATCTGCTGACAATAACAACTTGCGACAATATCGAGATTAAATGAATCATGTTCAAGTAGGTCTTGTTCAGTTACACCCCTAACTGCAGTTCAGGAGTGAAGCTTAATGTGATGAGGAAAAGGATGAGAGGGATGAGAAGGGGAGTAGTGGTGAAGGAGGTGAAGAAGATGAGAAAGAAAAAGCCAGAGAAAATGAAAATACATGTAACAGTTTTAAATGGTCAGATATTGTTTGTAACTACAAAGTACTACGAGTATCAGGGCCACACGAAGAAAAACACAGATATCACCGAGCATCCTGAGAATAAAGTTGAAAGTACCAGATTAAAGTCGTAATACTATTTCGAGAAAAAAGTCAAAATGTGGACATTACAGTCGCTCCCCCCTCCCTCCCCCGACCCCCTCCCCACCCACCAACACCACACCGCCCACAAAGCCAGTGGCGAGGGATCTACATGTCCAAGGACCGTCTGAGCTTCAGCTGTAATTGCTTTAGTTCTATTGTGGGAATCAATGACCTTTGGAAAAAGAAAAACTCCCCTCTGACTCTGTTTTTTCTCTTCTTCCTTCTTGCACACAATCTAACAAGGAGTAAATTGCTTTGACAGTTTGAAAGTGTTGCAGGGGAGAAAGAAAAGCACTGAAGGGCTTTTTATGACCACAGCTGGAAAAGTGATGCATATATACATATATATATATATACACACACACATATATATATATACACACA